AATTTATTTAAACTAATGGGATAAATAACCACAGAATTTCTAAAAAGAACATAAATTGCCTGTGACAACTAATTTTGTCATAATTTATTGCAATAAATAAAAATATTGTCATTTTGAGATCATTTTCGCAAAATATAATAAAAATAATGGTAGAATATTAATACGAATACATCCTCCTAAGGTAAAAGAAAAAAGAAAAAATTATAAAGAATATTTAATCCTGGAAGCGGAAAACCTTTAAATGTTTTTTTTACAAAGTAATAAAATAACTGAAACAACAATTAAAATGTATTATGTAACCAAAATTGTGTTTCAAAATATACCATTCATTCAGCTTAGTCAGGGAAAACAGGCAAAATGTCAGGTAGGACTTTTGTATAAACGAAAAAGTGCAAACTACTTTATATTGGGTGTAAAATGTTTGCAGAATTGTTCAAAATGCCAGCTTTTCAATGATATTAAAGGGGAGCAACTCTTTTGTGATTGTCCAAGTGGAAATTATCAAGCTCATTTCAAGTTATCATGTAAATAATTTATTTATTACTTATCATGACAAGCTTACTAACCAGTTTCTGAAAATTTTGTTTAAGTTTCTAGCAGGATGTATGTTGATATTTGTGAATCCTAACACCACTAACAGAACTAATACTTAGCAACAATAAACTGCAAGGGTGACCTACTTGTAAATGTGTTTCAATTCCAAATTTTTCTCTTCCTTGTTAATTTGTTTCTAATAATAGATGAATTAGAACTAACTAACAACAATTCTTTCCTTCGTTTGAATTATTGTTTAAATTTGACATACTTAATGCACTGTTGCATGCATGTGTTCGACACCATGCTGCATCACAGACCTGCGAAATCCTCTTTATTTCATCAATAACACTCTGTCTGCAACTCCAAAACAAGCCCTAATGACATGTGGACACAGTTGGGTTTAAAAGCAGTTGAATACATTTACAATAAGCAACACAAGATGGAAACACACCTTCCTGATTAGCCTCAAAACAAACTGAGGCTAGACATTGCAAATTTATAGGCTTAGATTTACAAATGAATGAAGTGCTCGAATTATGAAAGGGTTATAATTATGGTTATGCTCTCAAATCACTCCTTTGTGGAGTTTGTGATCTTGGGAAAATGTGACTGACCGGTCCTATAAAGAAGCTGCTTCTGACAACACGCGGGTGTATTATCAGATTAAAAGTTATTTTTACCATGGATATAATCACAAGGTGCAGACATGAAACCGCAGCTAGCACAAAATACAGGCAGTATTACAGAGCAAAGAAATTAAATTATTCACTGTGATACCGCCATCAATGAACCCATATTGTGAAGTTAAAAACACTGCAAAAATCCACAAGACTAACATAACAAATATAATGAGTTTTTAGAACAATAATGGCTTAAATATTGTCAAATTTATAATTAAGTAATATGTTCTATCAATTGTGTTAAGGAAAATCTGGCTAATAATAACCTAATTATTTTTTGTTTTTTAAATACTTGCTACAGTGAATTTTGTGTTTAAGCTGTTATTTGGCCACTCATTCATTAAACCAACATGTCTAAAACACTTCTTTATATTAAAAAAAAGTGTTCATTGAGAAGAATGAATCTTACTTATTTACTTTAAAACAGAACTTTGCTTGAATTTGCTAAAACTACCAATTCTGAGGCAAGAATCATCCCTTCTATAACAGAAATCCAAAAAAGACAATTCTGAACAATGACTAAGAAACAAAATCCTGCTAATGAGGACTGGAAGCCACTTAAGAGTTAGGAAAAAAAGTGAAACTCATTGTTTTTCTATAGCAAAAAGGAAGTGAAACGGTTGGACTCGACTACATCATAGACTTAAGAAAACTAATAGGAGCCCATTTGACGTAACAAAAGTTTTGGTTATCAGGAATTGTAAAAATTGAGCTATGTCATCATCGCAGGTATAGATCAGATTTTGGTTCAGTGACAAACACCATAAATTACCATCATCAATGAACTCATTATTTTTTAAAAACCAAGATGTCCTCTGGGATATTTCAGGTAAACAACAAGATTTATTAATGAAACATCCTTTTTACACATGGATTTACCTGGATAGAGCCAACATATTGTCTTAATATGAAATTACAATTATGATATCATAGCATAAAATGGTCCAAAGATTTATGAAGCGAATGCTATAAAATGTTATATAACTCAACAAAATAGGAAAATCTAGACCTTTTTTAAACACTGGATCAAACTTTTTTACCCTCCACGTGTCTTTAGGTATTTTTTTTTATCTCTATAAAGAGCATTTATAATCTCTATTCAGGTATCTACAAACTACAAGACTTATATTTTTTAAAGGCACTTACGTGGATCTAATACTGAAACTAAAACCATTTTTTATTCACACATTAACTGAAACAACTTTAAAATGACTTAAAACACTAAAATAAGACAAGGAATAAGTAGTTGACAGGTTTGAAAGGGCCGGCTGAATGTATAGGAAAAGAAGTTACTGGAAGAGGCAATAAATATATGAATTTATGCCATAATTCAAAGAGATTTAAAACCTAACAGAGGGGGTATTGAAACTCTTTTGAGGACTAAAACCTGTAAGTTGTTCCTGGACTGTGCAGAAATCAGCCATACTGAGTTAATTGAGAATATCAAAAAAGAAAACGCACTTTTTTAGTACACTTTCATTCTAATATATCAACAAGGCGATATATTCGCTCCCATTTTTAAATGCCTCGTGACTGATTCTAAATTACATGTCTTAAAACATTCAAGTCTAAATAAGAAAACTTCTACTGAATACAAAATATGTCAACTGAGACTAAATGAAAGTGAGGACGTAAATAAAAGAGCACTGGAGCTTGTTTGACGGCATTTGTCAAAGTATGACTAGCATTTTTCATTAAAAACATAATGACGGTTGCTGCAATAAGTAAAATATAGAAGCTAACGACTTTAGCCACATGCTAATGTTATGCAAGTTAGCCGACTAATGTTGACAAATTTGAAACTCCGACTGAGCCGATAGCGTAATGTCAGCTACGGCACTCAATACGGTTAAACGTCCCTGGCGTTTATAAATCAAAACGCTCAAGGTAGGTAACAAAATATCAGTTTCGCAAACGTTTGCGAATTCAATCGGTTTCAGCTGAAGCGAGATTAGCCGCTGCTAGCAGTAGCTAGCAGTGTCATGATACAGGCCGTTCCAAGTCACGTCAAGCTAACTGTTAGCCGGGAGTTAGCCACAACCCGACACCCCGAGATCACAAACTCTTAAAGTGGTGTCAAAGTTGCCACATTATTCATGAGCATGACCTGCGAAAGTAGCGGTTTTGGCCCAGGGGCTGACTCCACGAGCAGGTCAGAGTGCTGTGGTAACCCTCACCTCTTTGGGTACGAACTGGTTCTCCTCGCTAGGCACCATTTCCATTTGTACGACAGTTTAAACAATCATCTATCCGGACGGGGATGTCATCGAAGAATATTTGCGGCGGAAAACACAAACATGGTTTGTGTTCGGTTTGCAGTAAGTTTGGATGCTTGTACACCAAAATAAAACTTGGCCAAAAGTTGTAGGCTTATTAAAGTGATCGCAGCACTCTCGGTTGCATTACTCAAGCACAAAGTGTCCTGCTATAAATGGAGAAAAATGGCCGGTGTTTTTACTCCGCGAGACTTCACTGGAGGAGCTTTGGCGTCACATTCCGTCCACACGGGCGTGCGTGATGTATGCGGACAAGATGACGTTGGTGAATGCCTACAAGTGTGTGCGGGATTTCTTTCTCTTTTTTTTCTGTTTTTTTTTTAGTTGTTTATTTTTAATAATGCAAAAATTACAAATGCACGCGAGCACTTTGCATTTGTGTTTTCCACAATGGCAGGATGTTTAATCACACCGTTGTCATATTGTCAATTAATCAATGCCGTTCCATTTAGTAAAATCTTACTCGTATTAGGAGTTTATATGAAAAACAAGACAAAACAAGCATTTGATGTCAGCAGTAGTCTGGTCATAATATTAAATTTTGCTAGACGATAAATTGTTCCAGAAGTTACTGCGATAATATTGCTTTTTCGATACAATTTTCAAGCAATAACGGCATAATAATGTAAAAACAACACGTTGTCTGAAATAAATAAACTTTTAACTTCTAAAGGACTCTTCACACTGTAACTGGAAGACATTTTAAATATCCAAAGTAAACAAACAAAACAACAGCAACAACAAAAAATTTATTATTTAGTCTTTCTAAATAAAAGCTCCAAATGAGACCCAAACAGACTGAAGACTTTAGGTTTTGGTAGAAAGAAAAAAAGAGAAAAAGAGCTTGCTTTCATTTATTATGTGACTAATTAATTTTTTTGCTTATTGCACAGGGATGCACACAATGTCATAACAGTGTGCTGTAAGAGAGATGATCTGTGAAATAACCAAGTTCTTCTTTCCTTCTTCCAGTATTGAACATCTGTTTGTGCAGTGTTCTCATTCTGTAATATTCTGGTTAGATTTGGAAAAAAAAATCCTTGCAGAAAAAATCTGGAAGAACATTGTTTTATCAAATTCAAAAATATATCTGACGTTTAACAATTTAACTTTTTTAGATGAAATATGTCTAATTATAATCCTAGCCAAATATTATGTCCACCTGACGAAATGGAGTAAAAAAATTTCCTCTTTTAATAATTTTAAAGAAACTGATTTAAAGACATATACTGCCTCTGTTGAAAAACATAATAAACTTGAAAAACATGAACTCTTCTTCAGGAATTCAACTTTATCTCATAAGCAGATCCCTCTGTTATATATTTACTTTTATTTTTCTTCTCCCGTAATAGACCTTTTATTATATGTTTTTGAATGCATAATTAGATGTGGTAAAAAGTGGATAGATGGACAATTTCATCCAAAAATATGATAAAATTTTTGCATGTATAGGAAGGTCATCGGTAATAGAATTAACAAGAAAAGGAAAGCATTTTTTGCCAACAAACTTTTATTTATCAAAAATTGATCAAGTTAACTTGACACACCTGAAATCAGCACAAATTCATCCCAAAGAAAAAAAGTACTGACAAACCAGTTTTGCGTGATTGTTTGTTTAGTTTACTTTTTTTCACAATTGATGATGATAAAAAAAAGAAAGAAAAAAAAAGGTGATATTCAGTCATTATATTCTTTGGACCCCAAACAAAAATTTGTCACATGTTTGGAGATGTTTCTGGAGAAAGATTTTTCTCCAGAAAATCTTTAACTTGCTTCTCTTGTGCAGAGTTACTGTGTTTTGTTGAAGCTTAGCAGCAGCAATTCAATATCTCTTGTGAATGGTTGATTTCCTGTCAATTAAATTACCAGCAAGACCCCTGTCTCCTTCAGGGAATGATATATTCACAGATGTACTTCTTCAGGCTGCGGCATACCTCATCATACCACTTTCCCTGAGCAGTCAGGGAAAGAGCAACACAACTTTCTCTCTTTGTCCCCGTCGGCTGCTTCTTGGAACGATCCCAGTTGAAGAAGCTGACTGGCATGCTGTTGACATCAACATACTGGCCTTCCTTCACTATGTCTGCCACACCGATCCAGAACTCCTTTATTCCTGGGCTGCTTCTCTTTGCATAGTCCCTCACCTCGTTGTTCTCCATCATATCTCGTGGTGTCGCAAGGGTCCCTCCCTGAGCAATGCAGTCTTCGTTTGCCTCATGGTAATGTTTGGGCTCCTCACTTAGAAGATAGCACTTCCTGTGTGCTTTGATTCCCCGCAGACACACTGAAAACAGAAATAAGTTACTTTGGAAGTGCTGCAAGTTGCAATGTGAATATGTGGCATTTAACAAAATCAGAGCTGTTGCAATGTCTAACCTGCAATATCTGTAACATTTCCAAATTATTTGAACTAAATGTTATTTACATCCTATATGAAATTGGATATTGACTTTATAATTTGATAAATTGTGTATGTTCTACTGACCTCTACTGGTGACAAAGAACACCAAGAACTTCACTTTTGTGCTAATTATCTTGTGTCAGAGAAATATTAGGTTAGCAATAAGCAGGTTGCACATTCATGGCTCTCATTTATTGAAAATGCATGATTCTGAATGCAGCTATTGATTTTTAGCCATCTTATCTGTCAAGAAAGCATTTTGTGATGAAATTACCTGTTTGCAATGCTTGCATCTCTTTCAGTAAGTTCACCTCCTGCCACAACTTCTCAATCTGGGTTTTCACATCTTCATCCTCTGCAGCTGCACGTACAAATCCAACCAAAACAAACAAACAAACAAAACAACAAAAAATCAAACACGTCAGATAAACACTGATGCAGTCAACATCTTTTACAAAAGCTGTGTCACATGCACGTCTACCTCCAGACTGGCGGGACGAAACAGCTTTCCTTGTGCGAGATGGACGGCTGCAGCAGAGCAAGGAGAAACTAAGCGCAAGGAAGACAGGCAGGACCAGATGAGCCATGTCTGAGGCCAGGGGAAGCTAGAGTACAGGACTCTGGGGCACAACTTGTGCTACAGCAAAGGGAACTAAATGTCCCACAGGCAGGTTAATATAGTGGCCCTCTGTCTGCCTCTCTGGGTTCTCTCTCTCTGCATTGGCTCCCGTGCTGTTTGTTTTTGTCAAAACATCATGATGAGGAGAGGGTGGTGTCAAAGAATGATTTCCTTGTGTCTAGTTTATTTTGAGATAAATATTTTCTTGGAACAAGGTGCTCAAAGCAGCATTTTGCAAACTAAACAGGCATTTATTGAACCGCTTCACTGTTACAGTGTCCCCCTTTTCTTTTAGCCTTGGACAGACTTAGCAGTATATCAGTCTGAATTGAAAGTAGAAAAAAGGCAAGGGTGGGAGGGAGCGTTTTTTTTTTCTCTTTTAAATCTTTCTTCATAGTCAGAAGTTTACATACATTTCCTTAGTATTTGTTAGTTTGACGAGTAAAATATTTTGGGCATCATTCAAAATTTCACATCATCTTGTTGGAATTTTGACCCAATCCTCTGACGGATGTTTGTAGGCCTCCTTACTTGCACACAGCTTTGGTTCTGCCCATACATTTTCTTTGGAATTGAGATGAGTCCTTTCTGATCCCAAACATTTACTTTGATTTTGAAACTTATGGCCAAACTGCTAATTTTGTTTACTTAAAACTTAACTAGTAATAAATAATACAGATAATTCCTCAGTCATGAGACTAAGACTTTGGTTCTGTTGGAATTTAATTGTAGATATAGATATATATTTTTAAATCCTCACTCTTCCGCTATTATACTCACAGAACAGGATGACTTACAAGTATTTGGTGTGAGCCATGACACAAATATCATAAATGTGCATGTTCTGGTTGAAGTTATTATTCCTTCTGTATATACAAGCAATCTGAAAATAAGGTGTTTTATAAAAAGATACACCACGTTTGCAGTCTTTGTAAAAAATGGAAAAAAGGTCCAAACGCAATCATGTTATGCTTTGTAGGCATATTTATTCAAGTAAACAGAGCTGTGCTCAAAGAAAATACACAAAAACTGTGACAAAAATATACAACCATTGTTTAGAAAGAATGCTATAAATACACTACGGTGCTGAAGGCATTTACAAGAAAATACAATAATACACACACACAAAAACCTATCCTGTCATTCACACACTCATTCACATAGACATGACATTAAAGGCAGCAAACATTTGAGATCTTTTTCTAGTTGAACAATCTAAAGGAAATCACTTTAACTGTGAACTAGCTTCAAACTATGGTTTTATACAATTTCTAGATATTATATGAAAACTTCTAGAGTTGCAGGACTCATTACTTTGATTTTGTTGCAAGGCTGATGCACTTAAAATGCCGAAATGGACTGGAGAGTTTGACTTTTTTTAAAAGCTGAGAAAATCTGGTCTGTTTTAAAATGACGCATCATTTATCATTAACCCACCCATTTGAAAATACGGTGTGATGCAGAGCTGTTTAAAAAGGGTACTAAAATATGTTTTGTTTGTTTTTTTACAGTAGAAACTAAAACCCGAAAGCTCAAGGAAGGATTTCGAACAACTTGTAAATCGCTTCTGATAATTTAATATAATGCACAGTGCTGATCGAACTTGCGTTTGCTTTCACAATAAAAATAGTTAATCTCTAAGTATTATGGCACTTTTGTCGTGAGGCACCAAACAGTAAACAACTTTGGTCAGACAAGGAGAGCAGAGACTCCGCAGCTCTTCGACTCCAGTCTGACTAGCTACTTCGTAAAAATCCACGTCCATTAAATATCGCTCTCTCTCTAAACCATAATGTGTCAAATCTGTCTTAATTAAGAGTGACACTCTTTTATTTAGTATTTTAGTCACATTCAAGAAAACTGGATAATTTTGGAGTCAACCTGCACACTGCACAAACAGAAAAACATCATCAATCTGAAAAATGTATGCCATTTTTTTAAAGTTAAAATATTTTCTCACCTGTGGAGTTATTTAAGACACTAATTTGTAGCTCAAAGGCACTGGTGCTACTTTAATATATGAAGGATGGCTCAGGTAAAAACTATTGTACAAATCTGACTCTCCTGTTGGCACTTTCCTTTTATGAGGAAAGGATTTAATACAGTGGGTTGAAAAGTGTACATGGTCTATTTAAAAAGGCAAGGCTTTTGGAATGTAAAACATGTACACTCTAATACAGAAACATAGGTTAGGGAGAAAATATACAAAACCAAACAAACAAAAACAACACCAAAAAGAAAAAAAAAACTTTTGCAAACCTTGTTGCATAAGCGTCTGCACCCTGAAACTTCCATATTTTTGAAGCACCTTTTTAATTAAAGATCAAGATAAAATATTGAGTTAACGCCTCCAAACAGCTGATTAGATGAAGAAGAGTTCATTTGTCCATGTGAGATTTCCCTCACAAAAGGACACAAAGGGACTTTTGTGTCCTTTTCATGAAATATTTATAAAGTAGTCCCCTAAGAAGTCACTGCAAATGTATCAATTAGAAGGAGGATGCCTTTCATTAGCATTCTATAATATGTCATAATACACATATGACTGGACAAATTTCTGGGCAACAATTCCTTTACTAAAACTTTGGATTTGGCCACATTCTGAAAAAAGTATGTCTGGTACAAAAACAGCTGACCCAATATAAAACATGGAGGCAGCAACAATGTTCTCCGGAGTAACACTTTCTTCACAACAAACTCGAATTTGTCAGGGTGAACAAAATTGTTGTGCAGTTCACAAGAACTGTTCAACAAGAAATCTGAAGATGAACCAGGGTTTTGTTCTTCAGTAGCACATTAAGTTAACAAAAGGCTAGCTAAATTTTAAGAAAATCAAAGTTTTGCAAAAGTCTGGAACCAAGTGTGAAGGGTAATCTTTTGGGTTATTTAAATAAGGCTGTGGCAGGGAACGTCCTCACAATCTGGTTGATTTTGATAACTTTTCAGGGCAATATTGCTAGATAAACACATAGCATCCTGTTGGCAAAAATAATTTATAAAACGGACAAAAATACAGTCATTACATCAATGTAAGTTACTGTTAGTATTAAGACACTAAGATTAATTTTCATATTTTTCAATTCTTTGATCAACTTTGTTGTCCTTCTTTGTTTTATTGTTACCAAAATTGCTGTGCTTAGCATCAATGTGACTGCTTCAGCAAGTTTCCCAAACTTCCTAATTTAGCATACAGTTGGCAGATAATTTATAAAACGCACAAAAATACTGACATTACATTAATGTAAGTTACTGAAGTAGAACTGCTCCAAAGACAAACAAGTCATATTTCTTCTTTTCCCAATCTACTAACAAGTAATAAGTAACAGAGAGAAAAGCACAAAGGCATCCACACATTTATGCATACATGCACACAGAACATGCAGACACATATACACACTGGTTGGGTTCCTCTGTGGTGAATCTATGCAGTCTCTAGGTGAGCAGTACCGGCTTTCATCGACACTAATGAATGAAAGGCATTCGCTCCTTGCTGTCATTATCTCCTTCGGGCTCCTCCTCTTCCTCTCCTGCTTCACTGGTCTCTGTGCTGTCATTGGCCATCTAGTGGTAAAATAGTAATATTGAGCTGAGATAAACAGATGTGAGACGACATCAAATGATATACAGCTGCTCTCTAGTGAAGAACAACGGCATCCCAGGTCTGTTTCTTATATTAAATAAGAGGTAAAATATGATAAAATCCTATTCACCTCTCTCCTATGGCTGTGACCTTTGCTAAACTTTTGACACAGATATCAGAAAGATTAAAACAATGCACAATTTATAAAAAAAAAAACTTTCATTAAGTGTCTAATTAAAATTGAAAAAATGCCCTTTGGCAATAGCCTTGTTTGATTATTTCAAATCCCTTTGTGTTTGTGTACTCAAAATAAAAACATACAATTGTGTCACTGTTTAGTACACAAATACACACTATTTATAGTACTACAAACAAGCATTTGGCAACCACATAGTAATTTGCTAAGTTCCGGTATGTAGTGTTGTCTCTCTTCACTAACTTTTTGCTGTGTTTTATATCCTTTATCAGATTATTGCTTTTTTCGTCTTCTGTTCACTTCTCAATTCATTCTTACCAAAGGGGTCGGAGACTTCTCAACATCCAGAATAAGTTTTCCAATGTTGCCTCTGTCATGAATTCTCTGCATAGCCTCTTTCACCTAAAAACAAAAAATATATATTAATTACACTTTAGGCTCCTCTTTACATATGAAAAAAAATGCAACTCGGGTTTGGGCAAGTTACCAGTCTGAAGGTATACCACAGTTTCAAATAAATATGGTTCCAAAGTCATTAAATTTCCATTGAAAATTATTAAAATAAATGCTAGAGAAAAGACTTGCTTTGACTGTATGTCCCCGAATGTTTTTTCCTGTAGCCTTTTGTTCTGCCCAGGCTGTTTTTAGTGCATGTTTCTGTAGTAGGTCTCTGAAACTGGGCTGTTTATGTTGATTACATCTCCTGACGCTGAGCGGCTTCTCCTGCTGCAAGAGTCCTGCTGTAACTTGATGACACAGATCACTGGAGCAGTAGAGACCAGAACGTAATTAAAAAACTGAGAAATCAGACTAATACAGCATTGACTTCCAATTTTAGTGCAGTTACGATTGAAAGCCACTGACTGACTCTCCAAATGGTGTTATAATATTTAAATAAAATAGATTTTGGAATGAGCTTAGCCTATTTGAAATGTAAAAGACAGAAAAAGAGATCAGAGCAGGATTACGATCTACCATCTAAAGTATATTTATTGATATTTATTGTGGTTAAGATCTGAAACTGAGTCAAAACCAATATCAACTCAGAAAAAAATTGTAATGATGCCCAGGTCTTGCAATATAAACATATAATGGCTGCACAATGGTGCAGTTGGTAGCACTATTGCCTTGCAGTAAGAAGGTGCTGGGTTCGATTCCCGACCTGCCCGAAATGTTCGCTGGAGATGGGCACCAGCACCCCTCCCGATCCAAATGGATAATCTTCTAATGATCACTTCTTTTCAACACTTGTGTTTGACTCTGTAGTATAACCAATTGCAACACCAACTCTCACAGGTTATTTTGGACATGTTGAAAACTTCCCCAGCGCGAACAGACAGCAACACTGAAAGCGCTAAAGGAAGTCCAACAAACACAGATTGTGTTGCACATGTGAGAACAATCTGTGGTTTCTTCCAAAGGCTGCAAAACAGAAATTTGTTCTTCCACAAAAGCATTCAACCATCAGTATGATCTCTAAGAATAATTTATGATCATTTTAAATATTGTTGAAAAAAACAAAAGAACAAAAAAACAATGCTGCAAATCACAACAAAAACACAGTGCACACAGAGGATGATGGTGGTTGCGGCATCAGGCTCTGGTGTTACATTTCTTAAGATGGAAAGTCGTCTTTTCATAAAGGTTGGTAAAAGTAATATAATAGTTTTTGAGAGGGTTCCTGTTCATTAACCATGCTACATTCTAAAACTCACATCCCACAAGTGAACATGGTCTCACGCAACCATCAAAATGCAATTCTTATCAAAACTACTGTCTAATTAATCTATAGGGGAATTTTGTGTCTGGGTAGTGATAAGCTCATTATTTTGGTTGTCTATCAGATGCTCAATCAACTGCCTCTAATACTCTGCACAATTCATAAAGGAGCGAGGGTATTGTTTTCTTATGCCTAAATGAATAATTCAAGGTGAAAAGTTCACATGTAGGAAGTTATAAAGCAAGAAAAGAAAATTGATGCAGTATTTCATTTTACTCTGATGAGCCCACCAACAGTCTCTGCATCAAAAACACATCTGACTTGTCAAAGCAGCATGCAGTTTAACCTCATTGCTCCTCATTAAAGTAAAAATGTCAGTCGCAAAAGGAGGACATATCTTGTTTTCTCATTATAGTTACACACCCACAACTGAATGTGTGGCTCTTTGTCTGCAGCCACTGTGCCACAAATTTTCAGTGGTTAAATGGAAAAGCAACAACCAAGCCAGGGGCAAAATTGGGTTGGAAATGTTTCCCTCCTTTTCTGCTTGGCAGCTGCTTTTCTCAGGAAAAGGAGCAAACACCATACGATTTTAGGACTTTTGTGACCAGTAACCTCCTGGGTAATGATAAACTGATTGAATTTCACTGTTTTTTTTAATTAGAATTTATTTTTCTGAAGCCCAGATGAGAAAATTAGAAACTCTTAGATATATTGGGAGAAAAACGCCTCTCTGAGTTGATCCACTCAAACGTGTCCTCCTCAGTGTTTGAGTCAGGAAAGAAAGGTTACCCTGGTCAACATGTAAACTAATGTCCAATTAATTGTTCTTCCACCCATACTAACAAGTGAAGCCTGACACGACATCCCACGCTATCCAGCCCGCTAATGAAATTCTTCATGGACAATGGTTACAGTGAATAGCCTGAGCAGTTTGCCAGTGTTTAATGACAACACTACATTATACATTTCCCATGAGAAAAAACAAAACAAACCATGAGGACACAGACAACTCATCAACGTCTCCTTCTCTGTTTGATCAGCTATACAAAGATCAGAGCCTGAGGTTCTTACCTCCTCCAGCGCCCACAGCGAGTCCACTACAGGCCTGATCTTCTTCTGCTCATATAGACTCAAGAGTTTGTCCATTGCTGATTTTACGAGACTGCGTCCTCCTTGTTTGAAGAGAAGGTTGAGGAGGGAGAATCCCGCTATGACTTTGTTCTCCTCATAAAGTTTAATTGGATTCACCTTTTCCACCTGCCACCACTGAGGAATTAAACCAAAAGGAAGAACCAGAAAATGCTTATTTATATACAATATATGCTTAATATTGATTTGGATAAATATATAATGATGTCTCTTTACAATATGGATGCGTGAGTCTCAGACTCACAGATTTTGCAAAGCTGAAGAAGCTCTTTGTTTCCCCAGTTACCGTATTTGATGCACCTGCAAAAACCAGAATAAAATGTTCCAGTATGCTCGACAGCGGTCAGAAACAGGCAATTTTGAACCCTATCAAGGGTGAGGCGGGGGAGGATCTGCACCTCAGACCTTTAGGTCAGTGAAAACACGCCTTTACATGTTCAGAGCAAGTTAATGAACCTCCTAATGATTAAGCTGAATTCATGAGCCCTGGCAGGAACTAAAGGACCTTTATATCAGTTGATACAGACAATTAATCACATCTGAAGATTAAAGAGTACATTAAACCAGTGTTATTGCTGTACACATTAATCACTCAAAGAAGTGATGAATGGAATTATAATGAAAAACATAAAAATCAGATAAAAAGTCACATTAAGTTCCTTTCATTATGAAAATGACGGAATTATCAGTGTAGCTCATCTTGATGGAAACAAAATTTACCAGAAAAATATCTCTGAGGGTTTTTCAGTTGACATTCATTTAATAAAACAATACTAGCAAAGCCACCATTTGTAGAACGATAGAAACATGTATATTTGTGTATCACACATGCTAAATATGCTCAAACATGGTTCTATTGTACCATATAAGATGTAGGTTCCCAGTGGCTTTAGGAGACTCAGGCTTTTCCCTGTGTTTTCTCCACACAGACAGTCCAACACAATGTCAACTCCATCTGGAGAGATCCTGTTGATCAAAGCAAAAATTAAGTTAATTGAAAAATACAGCTACATGCAGCAACGAAAGGACCAAGCAGTCCAGGAGGGCACAGTCTCCATCATACTGAAGAGGTGGATATGTTTGTCTAATTGCACTACCCCCCACTGTAATTTGCACTTCTCATTAATTCTTGGCAAATTCATAATATAAATGCTTATATCAAAAATGCCTGTGACAGATCCCCGATTACAGTTAGCCATAGTGCAGACTTAGTTGCAGGTTCATTTTCTTTGAACCACTTCTCAGGTATTTGACAAACTGTTTCAGATCATCTACAGAAACAGGTGAAAATTTGGCTGTTACATATGATTATTGTTTGAAATTTTATGTTATGATATGATTACATAACTTCTGTATGTAGCAGCGAAGATTAAATACACAAGGGCAAAAACGGCCGAGTCCATAAATACAGCCTGTGATTCATCCTGCAGAGAGACTTTATGTTCCGTCTAATCAGGGATTCATAAAGTTATGATCATTTACTCTCTTGGGGTTTTTCTGTCTGGAAAAACTTGCAGTTCACAACCCACGTTTCTTTTCAGTGCTGCCTACAGATTATTTAGTAACAGGCAATTATTTAGATATGCAGTATCCACACCACATTAGACTGAGTTACAAAAAGGCTGTTGCTTAAGTTATTAGCTGACATAAAACTTTGACTTGTTAAAGGAGTGAAGATTAAATAAAATAAGGGATAAAATAACCAGTTTCTTAGTTCTTGATCTTTAGTTTGGAGCACCTGCTTAGTAGAACTGAATGGTGGTCTTGTGATTCTCATGGTTTTTGCCTTTTGCAAAAAGACTAATTTAACTGAACTTTGTTCTTGATCCTGAGAAGAATGTGAAGGCCAGAGAGATGAAAAGCACACTAATCCACAACCAAAGCTGATAATAAGTGTAAGAATTAAATCACTCCTATTGAAGCTTTTGGGCATCTTTTCGTGTTCTAATGTAGAACATAAATATCCCATGTAGTAGAGACCTTTCACATCATTTCTATTTTCCTCACATTTTGATTCATGATGAATAGTCTATGTCAATTTTCTGATGGCTTTTACAGTTTTTCTTAGGTCATAGGCTGCTTTTTCACCCATTTCCTGTTTAGCTTTCTTTTTTATTTTTAACTTCTTCAGTAGTCACTGTCTATTTTTAAAACTGTTTTTGAAAGCCCATCTTTTTTCATTGGCTTCAGATCTAGCATGAGAGAGGTCATTTGTCAAGTTGTGAATTACATTTTCTATGTAATTAACTGTTTTATTTTCAAGTTTTCACACGGTGTCTGGTCAGCACTTTGGTCAGTTTTACTGCCTACAAATAAAGTTGGCTTGTCATGGCTAAACATCACTATGTAAAAGTGAGAAATCCAGAGGATACATTTAAGGCCTGAATTATGTACACAAAAGTACCTCATCAATTAATGAACTTCAAAATGTTGTCTTGCTAGTGCTAAAATAATGTTTCATAACTGTCAAAGAGTGCAATTGTGAAATTTGTAAGTTTTACCTGCAGACTTTAAAATTTAATTAATTTTCATGTGTGGGTTATTTGGTTTGTTACTGAGATCAGTTGTGAATTTCATATCAATTAGATGATTAAAAATATATTTGTGGACATGTCCTCCACTGTACCAAACCAAAATCCTTCCTGAAAGTAAATTAGTACTGGACTGGAATTAGCAATAAATGCAGAAAATATTGCAATAAAAATTTTTGAAGAACTTTGGCAACATGGAGAATAATGCTTAAGACCACTTTTAGAAGATCATGACAAACAGGGACTGCTTAGAGATGCAACATATCCAGAAATAAAGGATGACCTCAGACTCTTTGAATTGCAGTTGAGCAGACAGCATGTATTACATAGTAATATTTATCACTTCCCAGCCCTAATTGGTTCAGCTGTTCCACAAGCAGACCTCCATCCAGACCTGCACAATGCCACTGCTTTCTGAGAGCAGCCTGTAGTTGCCATGGGGACCATTGCCGCTCAACCACAAATAAGGCAACCAGTAGCATCTGCATCCTTGTGCAGCCCTCTGCCCACGGCAAAGTCCACGTTATCACATCAGCTACCTGAGCCGCTGTCGTTTCAAGCTAACGCAACACATTTAATATAAAATCCTGCATTCTTACTTTTTCACTTCTTGTATGTAGTCAGTGTTTCTGTCAAAAAGGTGTGTCACAGAGTCTTTGATGGACGTGTGCTTGAAACAGGAGGCGACACCAAACACAGTCACCTTAGGTACAGTGGAGCATAACTGAGCCACTGCTTGTCCCTGAAAACGATAACAGCACATATACAGAAATAGATAAAAGCATAGAATTGATCAAAGTCTGGAAGTAGATAAAAGCATAGAATTTATCACACAAAGTAATAGTCTGTTTGCAAAAAAAAATAAAAAAATTAGTAGAGTGATTTTAGAACGGCTGCATTTCTCTTTGTTGTATCCATTCAGTAAGCAGGTGTTTCTGTTTCCAAAGCACCAATACTGTTTAATGAACCGCCATTTCACTTTGTCATAGCTTTTGTGCTTACCACTGCACCTCCAGCTGAGTGGACCAACACCGACATGCCTTCCCGCAGACTGGCGACTTCAAAGAGCATCATGTACGCAGCCACAAAGTTCAGGGAGAACGCTGCCGCCTCTGTAAACGTCATGTCATCTGGCATCTTGTAAACAAAATCCACTGGTGTGCAAACCACCTCGGCCCAGGCATTGTAGTTCAGAAACGCCATAACTCTATCGCCTATCTGAGAGAAACATGCACATATGTCAAGCAAGCATTTGTATTACTTATGGTTACACTTTTGTTTCGGAGTCATATGTAGATTTATCGACGTAGCATATATTCAGCAGCTGTTGCACAAACCTTACCTCAAATCCCTGTGTGTTTTCAGCCACAGACTCCACTATTCCACAGCATTCAAATCCAGGAACAAGGGGAGTTTTTGGAGGATTATCAATATTCCCCTGACGTACCATCAAATCCAGGAAATTCAAGCCACTGCAACACAAAATAATGAACATTTTCTTCTTTGTTGACATGAGGTGCTCCAGATTTAATGCTTAAAAGAAAAAAGAAAAACACTTGCCTTTGGAGGGTCTCAGTCCACAAGTGTCATATTAAATGACACATTTAATATGAGCTACTGAAAGATTGAAGGCTTACCCACAGCTATTTTTTCATTATTATCAGCAGTGAGTCATAGGCTTATCCTCTGAGAACACAAGGCCAGATTCCTCACATATGCTGCACTGAACAAAAATGAAATGCATTTTCATTTGTCTGTCTGCCAGCACTGGCAGGGGCTTAGCTGCAGTGGGAAATAAGAAAAGCTCTGCAAGAAATACAAGCACAGCTCTCCAAGAGTGGAGAAGAAAAACGTGTCATTTTAGTTTGAACTGACCGAATCAGGTTGAAAACGTTGGGATGAGTTTTGTTTCTGATGAAAAAGGCTTCAGCTTTTCTGTTGCTCAAGAAAAAAAAAGACCTGTAGATTCAAGGCTGCGAATTTCTGTATAATCAGATGCTGCTCGGGTTTCAGAAATTCATAATAACAATAATAATAATAATAATAATAAACATGCCAAAGCACAAGACAGTCTGTAAATAAAGATCAGAATATGTTAGATGTTCCTATAATCACCATGCTTTGACGCGGATCTTCACTTCACCATCCTGGGGTTCGGGCATTGCCTTCTTGGTAACCCGGAGTTTGTTCAGACCTCCGAAACCTGCCAGGACCACCGCTCGCATCTCTTTGGCGTTGGAAGGAGAGTCCACGTTCGCCGCCTCTTTGCCCGCATTTCTGTCTATCATGTACTGGGTTTCCTCTGTCAGGTCTGCTCCGTGTCCGGCCATGTCGGAGTCCAGCTGCTCTCCCTGTCCGTCGATCCTCCACAGTGATGTTGGAGGGAAGCAGACAGGGGCTGTTATCCTGAGCTCAGTCAGGGCTGGAGGCTCAATTATACGTGCAAACATACATAAGATAAAAAATAATAATAAAAACGGATCTTCTGGTTTTTATTGTTTGTTTTCAACAAGACATGAAAGTTTACCGTTTTGGAAACGAAGAAAATATTTTAATCACGTATTAATCATTAATCCTCCAACGTCAAAGTAAATGGTGCGCCATCTACTGGTGGACAGAGCAAAGCCATAGTTTACTGACGAACTTTTTTTCCCCTTTCCAAAGCAACAGTGTCCAAAACGAACAAACTGTAACACACAAAATCGCATAACATATACAGAAATAACATAAAGGAGTTGATTAAAGCAAGCCAGGAAATAAACAAATAAACTACTATTAAAAACGTGCAACTATTTGTGGAATGACCATAAAACATTGACAATTTTAGCAAGTTTTATGTATTTTCATGCATTTGTCATTTTCCATTTTCTTGTAATATCTTGATCTTTTTTATTTCTCAAATAGCTTTGCAGCATTTCTTCAACTCCTCATAGCCAATGACTTGACCTGTAGACTGACCTTGACTTGACCAACTTGTTGAAAGATTTGACCAAATAAGTTCAAAATGCAATGAGACTTTGGAATCATTCACTAGTGCAATATGGTTTGTGAATAAAACATATTTGTCTAATTGCTTATATTTATATTCTATAAGATATATATATATATATATATATATATATAAACACTTTAGCTGAATGTGAGAAAAGTCTCCAAAATGTGTGTTAAAATCACACATTTGTGAGAATCAAACATTAGTCTCTTATCACTAATTACACTTGTATCTTATATGCTGATTTCCACCAGGCATCTTCTGAGGTAACTTACTTCACAGTTGTTCAGCTTTTTGTTCCAATGCTGTCCGAAAAAGTGGAAAATATAGTAACACCAATAATAATATTTATATGTTTCAAAAAAAAAAATCACTCATGTAAAGCTTTTTATTACAACCCGCATTTAAAACATAAGAGCAAGATTTGTGGACAACCCACTGATACACAATATTTTAAAGTAGATCAACTTTAATTAAACTGTACATACATTGTGGTCACAATGCTGAAAAGGTAGTTCAAAGACAGGATGTGTAGCTGATTTCAGGTATTCATGAGGACTAACACTAGCTTCACAAACAGCCCTGAGAGAACCCCCTAACAGGGAAGAATAGAGACTTGATCATGACCAAACATTTGGTCATGTTGTGCGCATCACAGCTGTTACTGGTTTTAAATCTCACATGGAAGATTTCATTCTTCACAAACAAAAACAAAAACCTTAGTCTTACCTTACTGTACATGTATTTCACATTTTCACTGTGAAAATGTTGTAACTACATCTCTGATGCTGACGCCTTAACTGTTTTTTTTTTTTGCAGTTTTTTTTTTTTTGGTTGAAATGCATTTGCTAAACATTATACCATATTTGATGAGTCTGCACATTCTTATTAGGTGAAAAAGCAAAAAGGGTCATGGTTCAGAAGAGAATTGTTCTATCTTTTTACTACTTTGGGATATTAGTGAAGATTCGCAGGCCATGCATGCCTTGGATCTCCTCCTTCAAGGCCTGTGAAGGACAGAAAATTACAGGTAGTGAATAAAATTCTGATCAAAACAAATGGAAAGGGTTTTTAGATCCAATACTTTGTCTAAATTCTAGAGAGTTGACAGACAATTATCAAGAAGATAGTTTGACATAGATGAAAATTGACAAATGCACAGTTTGTATGTTATATTAAAACCATTGAACTTAAAACAAGCATAACAGTGTGAACCATCTCTTTGCACACTATTTAATTAGAAACAAAGAGTTTCTAATACTTGCAAACATTTTAATTCCATTTATTTTTCTGTGCAGTTGTGGATTTATCAGTATGATGATGCTGCCAGAGCTGATGTGCCAGTTTGTAACCTTACTTGATTGACCAGCTGGTGCTGTTGAACAGTTCTTTTTCCTTTGAACTCACTGGATTCTATATGGATCTCATACATGGCCCCACAGCCACCTGAAAACACAGAGACGAATGACACAAACATTGTCATCTGCAAAGATGGGGCTCTTCTTGTTTCACATGACTCACTGTTATTAAAGATAAGGAGAACAAGGATAAGAAAGTTTAACTCTCAAGGCATCTTAGAAGATACATCTATAATTGTAATCAACGATTTCTGCATCAGTGGATTGAAGGATGGGTGGGGAGATGAATTTTTGAGTGTTGATCCTCTATAAACAACACATCAGACAGTATTCTGTTTGGAGCAATTTCTTCCATCTGCAAATGGACATCGATGTATCAATAGCTCTATGAAAGAGCCACTGAATAGCTTAACAGATGGATGAATGACTGGATGGACAGCAGACAGACAGATGGAGACATGTCCATTTTATGTAAAAACCAACATTCAAATAATTTGTTTCATTTTAGAAATTGAAACTTTCATCATGTTCAGGGCTCCTCGTGGCAGGGAACCAGGTCTTCAAAAACACATTTTGAAAATATTTTTCCATACTTAATTACTTCTGAAAAACCCTTACAGTTCAAATTCCCTCACTTTTACAAAGCCTATCATCCTGACATGTCTATATTAGAAACGTAGGCCATTAGACAGGTTTGGACAATGCCTGAAGAAAAAACAAAAAGACATCACCTGGAATAATAATGATAATAATAACAATAAAACACTCAAGTCCGGACTAATAATCACTGTAGTACTGTTTGTCTACCTGATATATCCGTCACTTTGAGCTTGGAGGCCAGAGGAAACTTGTCCTTCAGTATGCTCGCGATGCGCTCCTCTCCATCTGTCTGCGAGGACAAACCTCTCTGCAGCCGACCGACAGCAGCTGTCTGAGGGGAGGCACAGAGCAGGAGTTACGGCAGGAAGTTACGCGAGGACCGGGTTGTGACCGGAATCCAGAACTAACGTACCGGAGTCGTGCGAAAAGCGCTGAATATAGTACTGCTGCAAAGACGAGTGCAGGCCAACATTGTGGACAAAGGAGTGTCACTTTTGAGACGTTTAAATAACCTAACACCGGTCAATAAGTCATGTCGCCCAAAACAATTTCGTCCCCGGAAAATGACGCTGTTTGTTCTTGTTCTTTACGGTCTCGTACTAGACTTCAACGTGAGAGCGGCGCTACTGCCACCTATTGGATTGATTCATTAGAGCGCTTAGATTGCACATAGCGACCCACTGCTGTGTTCCTTCACTTAGTTTTTATCCTGTTTTAAGAGTTCTTAAAATCATTTTTTTATTCACAAATTCCCTACATGTTTTACAGTGTATGCTTGCTGTCACAATATGTGCTTTTGTATTAAAATAACTTTGACTCTTGATCACAGAATAACAGAAAAAGGTGAAATTTACACCATTTGAACGTAAATACATGGATAGCCCCTTTGGCTCGTCATTATTTCTTTATTCATCCAGAATTTGCTAGCTTTTCTTCAGTAATATTTTCTAAGTAAAATATGTTAAATCTCCATAACAAAGTCATAAAGCAATTTGTCAACGTTGTTTTTTTAAAATTCAAAATCATCTTTGCACTTAACAAAAAACATCCAACAATTTTTAAATTTCACTTATGATACCTAAATAAATGTTTAAAAAAGTTTTAATAATAAATGTACATTACGAACTTGTCCTAATAAATGATTGCTCATCTTCCGTTAGCGAATCAGTAATATATATAGCATCCCAAGCCACACTCCATTCCAGTTGAAGGCAGTAGTGCACATCCGTAGGTTGTTTGCTAACCACCATAAAAAAAGAAGAACTAACTATTCAGTGACTGCTTGCATCTGTTTTCCCCAGGTGATTTAGTTGTGCTGAATGGAAATACCTCTGAGAGGGAGAGTATGCTAGATTATTCATTCAGATGTGTCTTTTTCTCCTTAGTGTGTGGGTCCAGCTGAATGTTCTCCTGGGTGTCTGCTGCAGGCCAAGACCACAATGGGGTTTGCAGTTCTTTCTGTGGTTTTGCTGCTGATTATATCCTTAGCTTTTAGAGTCTCAGTTTTTAGTTTTTAGAGACCAAACCATGATAGCAAAACTACTGTCCGAGTGGAGTGCACTGAGGTTTCCATGATCATTTTCATCCAGGCTGACTTCTACCACAATGGACATCTAGTGTCCCCACAAGAGCTGTTTTTGGGAGATTCCAAGTATCGTGAAAACAAACAAGCTGCTGGTGATGGAGAATATGTTGTAGAAGCTGAAACTCCAGGACTGTGGCTCCACATTAATGGCAAGCTGCTCACTCTTCTGGGATCTCTGGGATCATGATAGGCTATCTGAACTAAAACTTTGGCCACTTTCTTTCATCATTTCTCGGTTACCGGCAACTATTTGACCAACTCAAACGACTGGATACTTTCTCCAGCCCTTGGCTCAGTTGGCTTCACAAGGGCTACTGAAGCTGTCGTTCCAGTTTCTTGCCTGTTCCTTTCAGTCACTCTGAAAAGGAAGCTTTTTGAATCATCTTGTTTTTTAGGATCCACAATGTGAGTAGCACTGTCCAGCAGCAACCCCTATCTGTTTTCAGTTTCTTCAAAGTTTCTTTTGGGACGCTCTCCTTTTTCTCTGAAGCTGAAAACAGTTTTTTTTTTTCTTTAAATGGCTTTCTCCTGACTGGGACAGGAAATGATTGTTTCTTGTGTTTGCATACAGATGACTGGTCAGCTGAGAAGTATTCCAACAGTTTACTTTGGTGACCCACTGCACCTAAGGTCTCGTACACTGGTATGGATCAAAGGAAACTTTTTTTTAGGTATTTGTAACTTGTACTCGCCAGCTGTGGAAGAGCAGCCCCACAAACAAGGTCTGGAATTACATCCATTCAAGGTGAGTTTCTCTTTGAGAATTAAGAGGTTAAGACTAAGTGTAAACCTTAATACAATTCTGACTTGCATTGGCCTTCAAGTTTTCCCCAAATTCAAACATGACCTTAATAATCAAGAAGCAGCTTTATTGTCCAGGCTAACAAACATTAAATCTGTATATGATGATATTTGTCCTGGCAGTGACATGTGCATTACACTTAGGCTAAAGCAAATGAATTTCCACCTATTCGTTTCAAATCAGTAGCTTGCACTGTGTACAGGATAATATAAATGTTCACTGCTAAAACCTGTGAGTGTCGCAGGACTGGCAAAACTACTTTTTGATCAACTGTCCTAAAGCCGTAAATTGCTCACATGTGCATTTCAGCTGGAAGAATGTGGATGGACCTCATGGTGTTTGAGTGTTGCAAAGGTGTTTGCAGTAAATGGATATCTAAAGGTAAGTCATATTTCAAGTTATTTTATCATCAGCAGCAACTGATGATCCAATATTTTATTGCTCTTCATATTCTTTGTCTTTCAGATGATATTTGTGATACTTTGACTCTGGGCCCCTTCATAGTTATTCCCAGGAAATGAGTAAGAAGGAAACTCTAATCACCACATTTACCCTGGCACAAAACTGAAGGGAACGTTGAGTGGTATAATTTCACCAGGAGAACTGCTGCATGCCCATGAAGCTGATCTGAGCCTTTACCCTAAATAAATCTTATGTTTAAACATGTTGATCTGTTTCTGACTTCTTGCACTTGGAGGGAATATTGGATCTATTTACTAGACCAAAGCTGCAGCAATAACTTTTCAAATCCGAGTGGTAGAAATGAGAGAGGGTCAAGGGGAAATGCTTAATCTCATGTGACTTTGATCATGCGACACTGTGGTATGATCAAAGATGGATTCTTTCTCCTGACTTTAACAGTCAGGAGAAAGCCATTTGGATAGATTCTTTCGGGAGAGAAGTGTTTTTTTTTTTTTTAATGCAAATATGAACAGGCCAAAGCAACCATTATGCTTTACAAACACCTTAATGTTTAGAGTCCCAGAAAAGGAAAAGACCAGGTGCAGATCAGGGTAGCACAAATGTTTCAGATTCACTGTGGTTAACTGTTGCAAGTCTGTGGCTGTAAAACAATCTCATTTTTCCCCAGAGTTTCTCCTTCTGGAAACTAATTGGAAAGTCAAGATCTGCATGTTCAGATTTGTAATATTTAGAAAGAGCTTCATAGTTTCCTTTAGCAAGAGAACTGTGAACTACTCAGTCTTTTTCCAGCAGAAATATTGCCATGTTAAAGAATTTGAGATGGAGTATTCATCAAGATTTGTAGCCAAACTTCTGTAAAAAAATTTTTTTTCTCCTCACCGCTGTCTGATTATAATCTTAGTTCTCAATCATGAGAAATTTCTTTAAAGTATGGCAATGACTTTTTCCAGTTAATGTAGAAACCTAATCTCTACTCTGTAACAGTTAAAGCATGGTGTAGATCAAGTTGTTTGGAATATGAGTCCCCTATATAAAGCGCAAAACCATCTAAATCTTTCACCTCAGCTACATGGGACCAATACAAAGGGTTCAGTACCTACTGTTGCCAAACTGGTCTCTGCTTCCATGAGTGCTCAGGATATTTAAAATAATGCTATAAATTAGAGATGGACCATCAAATTTTACAGAACAAGGCACATTTATTGGTATAGTGCTATTACATAACAAACCAGAGGCAGATTATGCTTCTGCCTCTGGAGAAAAGCTGGGCATACAGTTTGTCCATATTACTGTCTGCTTGCTCAGACTGGAGAAAAAAGCAATCAAAATTTCACTATAAATTTTACATTTGGAAAATAACTCTATAAACAAAATCTGATTTTTAATTACCAGATTGAGATTCATTAGTGGGGCTGTTGTGAATGTGAAGCTTATCTCTCTTTGCAGCTTGTGGCACCTTCAGTCATGGAGGCAGAGGAGTAATCAGGACTTATTGACACAGCAATCTCACCTCTTTTTATACATGTGTGGGCGCTATTTGTGCTCAAGAATTATGAGCAGACCACAAAGCTGGGTACCCCTCCTTGTCCAAAGTGCTGCCGTCAGAAACCTTTAAAGCCACTGAGCTGCAATAGAAGCTCATCAGAGCACAGAGATGGGCAAAGTCTCTCTGACCACATACACTTTGGTGGTCTTCTTCCTCGCCTCCAGCTGTTATGCTGAGATGGAAGACGTTATTTCATGTTCTAAACACCAGACAGCCTTTGATGGAGCTTGCTATGAATTTGTGGGTCTGCAGTTTTCCTTTTTGAGAGCTGAGGGATGGTGTGAGCGCGGTGGGGGCCACCTGGTCTTTATCTTGAATGATGAAATACAGCAGTTCCTCCAAACACACCTAGAGCCTGATAAGGATTGGTGGCTGGGGCTGGCACCTGCATCTCCAAACCTCACACTGGATGTCTCTCCCACTGAAGGTAAGAGGATGAGTGAGCGTTAAAGTTTCTGAAGTTTTATTAGCATGGTAGTTGGTAAATATTTTTATGCTTGCCTGAACATTTCTATTAAAAATGCTTTTTCATGAGATCGCAGTTTGCTAAATATTAAAGCAGCAAATCTAATAGTTCACTGATGTAAGTAGATTATATACTTTAGATCTGAACCCAATGACTTCAGCTGTAATCTCAGGAGGCATCATTAGCATCGTTGGTATGTTTACCCACTGACAAATGTGTAGTGACAAGCTCTAGATTTGTTTTTTGGGGGGGTTTTATGGAATTTTCCAATTTTCCATATACTGACACGTAAGCTTTGATTAAATAATTGCCTTTTTTCCCCAGGTTCTCTTGCATGGTTGGATGGTTCAGATGTCAGCTATAGTAACTGGGTAAACTTACCAGAGGCCCGGGCGACATGTGGATACATCCTGAGAGACACAGGATTCCAGTGGACGGCCACGGAAAACTGTACGCAGGAACTGAACTTCATCTGCCAATTTGGTATGTTCCTTTTACACCTTAAGTGTTTTGATTTTAAGTTTTAATATCTAATTTTTTTCCATTCTTTCTTACCTTTCTGCATTGATTAGAAAGAAAACTTCTTTTTTTTTTTGAAAAAGGAATTAGAAGTGCAACATGACTTTTATTTTTTGAAAAAGTAGATAAATAAAAAAAGGGTTGAAGACTTTGGAGAAAGTTTTTCTTTTTCTGTCTACGCTCTGAAATGCACTGGCATAACTGGTAGCAAAGCAGACCCACAGCATGATGCTAC